TTCTCATTATCTAGAAATCATTTGTTTGCTGATAACAGGTCTACACAACAAGATCTAATGAACCTGCTTGGGACTATATACTCTGCTGTTATGTTTCTTGGAGGCACAAGTACTTCTGCTGTTCAGTCGGTTGTGGCTGTAGAAAGAACAGTCTTTTATCGTGAAAAGGCCGCTGGGATGTATTCAGCATTGCCTTATGCATTTGCTCAGGTAAGATTCTATTAAGTAGTAGATTATGTCTTCTGTTTCACAATTTCTCCAAGCATACCTAAGCTTTCCTTTAAATATATTTCTAAAACTTGTAACAAATATTTTTCTGACATTCCTGCAGGTGGCAATCGAGGCAGTTTACATATCAATTCAGACCTTCATATACAGCCTTCTTCTTTACTCGATGATTGGGTTCAATTGGCGGGCAGATAGATTCTTTTGGTTCTATTTTTTCGTATTTATGTGTTTCGTATACTTCACTACCTACGGCATGATGCTTGTGGCAGTCACCCCAAATTACCAGATTGCTGCAATTGTCATGTCGTTTTTCCTCAGCTTCTGGAACTTGTTCTCGGGCTTTCTCATTGCAAGAACGGTACGCGCACTTAGAGAATTACAGAAAAGAGTTTGATATTTTCTTTGATATAATGCAAAATAATATCGATCTTTTTAATTTAGGATATTCCTATATGGTGGAGATGGTACTATTGGGCTTCGCCTGTCGCATGGACTATATACGGGCTTGTGACTTCTCAGGTGGGAGACCGAACGAACTCTATTCAAATACCTGGCAGTGGTGATATTCCTTTAAGAGAATATCTCGAGAATTCATTAGGATACGATTACGACTTCCTGGGACCGGTTGCTGTGGCCCACATTGGTTGGGTGATTCTTTTCTGTATCGTTTTCGCTTACGGCATCAAGTTCCTCAACTTCCAAAAGAGGTGAAGGGAATGAGTGAGTTCATTCAAACACTTGCTACCTATATTTTTGTGTTTTGTAAAAGAGTTCCATGTGGAAAGTATATCTTTTGGACACAAGTTTTGTTTATTAGTAGTTGATGTTGATTGTGATATAAAAACATTTATTGTTCTGGGTAGATGAGATAATTTGAAACTTTTTTTTTTTATTCGAAACGATAGATTTTATAGCTCAAGAGAACAAAACTGACCCAGGCTAACTCGCTTACAGACTTCCACAAGAAAGACTAAGAGGGACACCTCAATGAGCCCTAAACAAAACTAAACAAACAAAACAGAGGTGGATGATCAGTTTATGCAATGACAAAGCATAGAGCTCGTAATTCTGATTCTCTAGGACTTTTGACAGTTAACAACTGCGAAAGGAAAAGTTGTTAGTTTTATATTGTGTATTCTCTGAACCTAGATTTGGTTTCACTATTTTATTGTGTATTCTATATTATACTAGTAAAGTGTACGCGCGATGCAAGTGGTGGTTAATATTTTTGGCCAATTAGTATTTATCAATGACATGCTCGACGAACTAAGGTTGCGCTACTTTTCCAAATTGAATCGATAGGTTGGATTCCACCAAATCAGAGTGGCAAAAAAGGTTCCCGAAGACGACTTTCCACACTCAACAAGGGAACTACAAGTACTTGGTAATGTCTTTTAGGTTGTGTAAGGCTCCATCGAGCTTTCAATTTGCCACGAACTCCATATTTCAAAAGCTCTTGCGTAGATTTGTATTGGTGTTCTTTGACGATATATTAATTTATTCGAAAAACTCGAAGGAGCACATTGAGAATTTGAGGTTGGTCTTGAGGATTTTGAGAAAAATGAGTAACATCAAACCGTCAAAGTGTCCGTTTGACTAAAGTACGGTGGAGTACCGAGTACCTAGTCATATAATTTCTTATGGGGGTGTGAAAGTTGACCCCAAGAAGATTGAAGGCAATGAAATATTGGCCAAAGTTGAAGGGTTGGACAAAATTTCATGGATTTTTAGGGATGACAGGCTACTATCTGAAGTTTATCAAGGACTACGGGATGATTGCCATACCCTTGACTGAAATGACAAAAAGGGCAAGTTCAAGTGGACGATGACGAGCGAAGAGTATCTCATATTACTATTGTATATTTAGTTGATATTATTGATACATATTTATTATATAGTTACTATTGAATAATATAATACATAATGCATATTTCGTTCATTCCTTGTGCATATTTAGGTCATAAGAAATACATAGTTGGTTCATCATAGTGCATATTTATTATATTTAAATTAATTATATACATAATGCATATTTAGTTAATTGATTATGCATATTTAGGTAATAAGAAATGTATGTTTAGTTCGTCATAGTGTATATTTATTATATTTAAATTAAATATAAATATAATGCACATTTAATTCATTTATTATGCATGTTTTGTTCATACGAAATGCATATTTAGTTCATCATAGCATGTTTAGTTCATACGAAATGCATATTTAGTTCATCATAGTGCGTATTTATTATATTTATATTAAATATAAACATAATGCACATTTAGTTCATTCATTATGCATGTTTATTTCATACGAAATGCATATTTAGTTCATCATAGTGCATATTTATTATATTTAAATTAATTATATATATAATGCTATTGAGTTCATTCATTATTCATATTAAGGTTATAAGAAATGCATATTTATTATATTTAAATTAATTATATACATAGTGCATATTTAGTTCGTTCATTATGCATATTTAGTACATATGAAATGCATACTTATATCATCAAAGTGCATGTTTAGTTCATGTGAGGTTACAATCATAACTATTTATTTGTGCAGATCAATAATTCATTTTAATCAATTGAAATTTACATTAATCATATAATAAATAATAATTATTATTATATTTAATTTAATTATATAAAATACACATTTAATTGCATATTTTCGTTGCATATTTTTTTTTTTTCGCTGCATACTTAATTCATGCAAAATGCTCATTTAGTTCATATGTAGTGCATATTTAGTTTATAAACAGTGCATACTGATATGAGATTCCACACTAGATAGAGGAAACCTATAAATCGGCTGACCAGGCTGAGCGAACCGGCTAGTCGAGCAGAACCGTAGGAAGGACAAAGGTGGTGGAACACCACCAACTCAGATTAAGGAGTCTTTAGGACGAAGAAGACATGAGGGGTTCAGAGGCAACAACAAGTCGAGCTAGGGCCCTCGGATGACCTGTTTGAAACTTGACATGAAGGTACGATTTATCATGCGTTCGACTAGAAAAGACAACACTTAGGCTCAGAACAGTCCATATTTTACCTCAGCAGGGCTCGAGCTGGTCGCACTATTAGGTGATCTAATGAGAAAAGACAACACTTAGTCCATATTTTACCTCGCACTAGGCCGATTTCCAGCCGATCGGAGATCTTTTGTGTACCACATACTTGATATTATTGGTGCATATTTAGTTCATAATACTGTATATTCAATTCATACCAAATGCATATTTAGTTCATATCAAGTGTATACTGCTGAATACATATTTTCTTCATACATAATGCATACTAAGATCAAAGGTCGACGCCGATAGTTCACAGTCAACGTCAGAAGTCAACGGTTCTCGTAAGAAGTCAACACTGAAAGTCAACGGTCAACAATCAATGGTCAAGTGGCTTAAATAATATTTAAATAATTAAAAATAAAAAAAATTAAATCTTAGCCACATATCGTAAATGGATAGGATTGAGTCTCACATTCTTATTGGAATAATATATATAGGGTTGAGTTCAAGTGAGGAAGGTGCTCAGTGAAAGAAATAAGAATGCATACTTGTTATTAGATTGGATGATCCAACAGATAAAAAAAATCAAAATATTACATTCATTAGGGGTAATTTGGATATTACCATTATCCATTCAATCAACCCACTCACCAATGTTTCCAACGCCGCATCATCACCCACACAACACATCCACATGCCAAACACATGCCACACACACACACACAACAAACGCACACATAGGCGGGTGCTCAGTCGCCACCGACTGGTCTTCGGTGCTGCCGTTATCTCTCCTTCACCGGCCGATCGTTACTTTCCCGCACAACATCGTCCGCCGGAGACAACTGCCATGTGTCCTGACATCTGCTGAAATCCGTCATCATCGCTCACGGTAGCGGCAAACTCCGACAGCCTCCATATGCAGCAGCGGCACCAACACAGTGTTCACGACCGCCTGGCTCGTGTTCATATGCCTTGCGATGAACGGTCGGGTAGCTCAAGAGCGGAAAGGACGGAGGCCGACAACAGCCTGGCAGCTCGCGATGAACGACTTGGCAGCTCGCGTGAGGTCTTCGAATGGCGGAGAACGGCCAGAGCTTGATTTGCCGGACAAAAACAGTGAAAGTTCAATTTGGGGCTTAAGAGTTTTTTTAAAAAAAAAATAAAAATTGATGAGTTGCAAGGACCTGTTTCAAATACTAAGACTTTGGTTTATATTTCAATTTAGTATATGAGCCAAATCTATAATTTATACAATTTTATAAAAAATAGTATTCTTTATATACTTTTTAAACATATATATATATATATATATATATATAATAATAAATAATAAAAATATTAAATAAAATGATATAAAACATTAAATTAATGTTAAAAATAATATAAAATAATAATAAAATATTGGATTAATAAATAAATTTTAATAATGTAAATAATAATTTATTTCGATTGTGTAGGCTAATTAGGTCAATCAAGCGAATAAAATGATTATTTTGATTCGTGTTAGTTTGGAATTGCACATAAAAATACTAATGATACAGAATACAAAAATTGTTAAACAAGATGCACATTAGTAATTATCAGACTGCACTACAGGCTTAGTTTGGATTTGCACATAAAAATACCATGATACAGAATACAAAAATTGTTAAACAATAGTATTAGTCTGAATGCACATTAAACCCACTATATAAAAATTATTATTTTTTATTTTGTTTATATATATATTGTTTATTATCACCAAATAATAATATAAAATATTAAATAAAGATTTATAAATAATATATGTATTTTTATTATATAAATAATTTGATAATTAAAAAATAATATTAATTAAAATACACATTATTAAAGTTTCTAAATTTGAAATGCACACAAAAAAATACCTCATCAATTGACTGTACGATTATGTTAGATGAAATGCACATTATTGTCTGTGAGAATTCACAAAATTGATTTTGAAATTTTGTATGTTATGTCTTTTAAACTAAAAATAATATAAAATATTAAATATAATGCTAAAATAATGAATATATTTTTATAATACAAAGAATAAATCATTTATATTATTTAGATTATTTCGATTAATCGATCGAATTAATCTAAATAATAATTTTATACGAATTGCACATTAGTGTTAGACAAATTGTACATTTTAGACGAATTTCACATTAATGACTATCATATTGAACAATATCGAACTATCAATTTTCGACTAACTTTTTCTACTTTAAAAAAATTGATTATTTTGGTTAGATGTCAGTTTTTTTTTAAAAAAATAAATAAAAAAACAAACCAAAATAACCAAACGTATATATATATATATATATATATATATATATTATTATTATTATTATTACTATTATTATTATTATTACTATTATTATGATGCATTGCGATTGCACAATAAGGTTAGATGAATTGCACCTTAATGAATATATGATTGCACATTATCAACCAAACTTGATCGAACAAAATTGTTCGGTTCAAAATATAACATTTTGGTTCGTGTATATGATTTTTACTCATAGAATCTCGATTTTAATTTCTATTTATCACGCAATATTATTCAATTTCTTTATCATTATTGTGCATTTAATATATTTGTATAAATTATGCATTTGATACTATGCATGAGATTGAGGTTTATTAAAACTTTTAAAATTGCAATTAATCCCCTTGAATCTATCAAATTCTCAAATGGAGGCCCCAATTCATAAACACTCTCGCCACCGCAGGCCTTCCCAACAGCAACCACCCGCGGCCTACCCCTCCCCGACTATCGATTATACGTCGTCGGAGAACAACCACGAGACGTACGTGGCCCTGAGTCCTCAAAACCAAAAATCACGGTTGATGAAGTGGGTGGCCAGAAATGCGACGGTCACTATCGACGACGTTATCGAATACAACGGCGTCCTCGATTTTACGACGGCGAGTCGTGCGTGTTCAGAAGGGTCTGGAGTCGCCGGAGATGACTTATTTGAAGTAGGTGGTCGGGCATGGCGTGACCAGCGGCGGCGACGAGATATGACTGAGGTCGGGTTGATTACTGGTGACGACGAGGTCAACCGGAGCTTTGGCTGCAGCGGTTTGATGGCGGTGGGTCGAGGTCGGCAGCTGCAATGGAGATGGTGGTGACTGTGTGTGCATTGTGTGTGTCCCGATATGTGTGTGTGTGTGTGTGTGTGTGTGTATTTGTGTGTGATATGGTGTG